GCCGCCGTTTCCCGGGCGTCCCGAGTGAGCCTCCCTCCCTCCCTCCCTCCCTCCCTGCGCTTGCCCGGCAGAGCCTGGTGGAGTACGGCCTGAGGGAGATCTCGTACGAGGCCAAGAGCGGCACCTGCCACGAGCTGAAGGTCCTGGCGCGGCCCGAAGACCCGCTGCTCTTCCACTTCGAGGACGAGCAGGAGGCGCAGGCCTGGTGGGCGGCGGTCAGCAGCTCCCTGCGCGAAGTGCAGAAAGGTCGGTCTGCCGGTCGGGGAGGGGCCGGGGCGCAAGCGGCCTTCGGGGCGGGAGGGGGCCTGCGGAAGCGCCCCTCAAAGAAAGCGGGGTCCGAGAGCTGCTCCCGCCTGAGGAGGCTCTGTGGCGCCCGGCTCTTCCTTAGAATTCGCTCATTTAGGGCTTGTTTGCCTCTGAAGGGAGAGCCTGTTTGGGCCGGTTGCCAGGGCCTGCCTTCTCTCGCCCAAAGGCCCGGGCTTCTCAAAAAGAAAACTGCTTTCTCTCGCCAGCTCCAGAAGGAACCAATGGGCTCACCGGCCGGCCCTCTTCCCAGCCTTTGGCTGCCTCCCTTCCCCTGGAGACTGCAAAGAAAGGTCAGTGCATGGCACCTCCTAATAGCCTGGCAACAAGAGAAGGAGGTGCTGCTTATCCGCTCTGGGCTGTCAGGGTTTTTCAGGATAATCACATTGAAACACATGCAGTGAGGCCAAATTGTGGAAACAGGAAAAAAAATGTCTCCTTTTTGAAATCTCAGCAGTTCTTATTTTGCTGGGTCTCTTAGCAGCTCTCGATATCTTGAACCGTTGTGAGTTGTCTGCAAGGGTTCGGGGCCGTTGGTGCTGTTTTCCTCAACTTCGTTGGGCAGCTCCGGTTCCTGTTCATGAGGGATGAGAGGTCTGCGCTGTTTTATTTAATGCATGCGCCTGGGGGTGCCTTTGGCAGTTTGGGGGTCCAGTGTCATCAAGATGCAGATTATACACAGACCGAATGGAGATACAGGAAGCCCTTGACTTACGACCACACTTGAGCCTCTCCAAAATTCCTGTTGTTAATGGAGACATTTGTTAAATGAATTTTGCCCCATTTTATGACCGTTCTTGCCACAGATGTTAAATGAATCACTGCGGTTGTTTAGTCAGTAACGTAGTTGATAAATGAATCTGGCTTCCCCTTTCATTTTCCTTGCCAGGAGGTCGCAAAAGGGGATCATTGCAATGGACATAAGTATGAGTTAATTGCTTTTGAAATATGACCACATGACTATGGGGATGCTGCAAAGGTCATAAGTGAGAAAAATGGTCATAAATCACTTTTTTAGTGCCTTTGTAATTTCAAACAGTCACTAAACAAATTGTTGTGTGTTAAGGATCATCTGTATAGCGGAAGTTGTAAGGTTTCAGTGGAAAGAAACACTGAGGCTTAATTTAATTAAGGCTTAATCTAGAGTGGTTAATTCTGAAACCAATCCTGGTTATTAATCCAGAAACTAATTCTGTAAGTTCTAGATCAAGGTAGAGTTTGTCTGATCTCGACGTTCTCCGGGAGTCATAGCTCCTGCTGGGTCAGTACTTGGAAGCTGTGGTCAGGAGAACCATTGGCCAGTTTTCAGGACAATGAAGGCATCACTTGGCTGCATTGACAGGGACTCTGCCTTGGGTGTAGCCTCTGAGGAGGCAGTGAGAGGGCTACCTGGATGATCTTCTGCCACCTGGGAACTTGACCCATGCCCACTGAGGACAGTGGAAGCTATCACTGCCCCATTATTGGAGGGGGAGTTTCCAGCAGTTTTGAAAGAAGCTGTGATTCTTACCCTTCTGATAAGACCCTCCCTGAATCCATTGGTGTTGGATAAACAATTATCTAGTCACAAAACTTTTGAGAGAATAGCAATAGCCTTTACAGTGTTTTACAGCCGCCTCTAAGTGGTTTACAGAATCAGCCTCTTGCCCCCCAACAATCTAGGTCCTCATTTTACCCACCTCAGAGGGATGGAAGGCTTGAGCCTGGTAAGATTTGAACTGCCAAATTACAGGCAGGTGGCAGAAGTAGCCTACAGTACTTCACACTAACCACTGTGCCACCTACACGAAGAATGTAGTTTGAGACACGGGGGGCATGTTCAATACAGTATGGAGAAGTCATTTGTTTATTGTTTAGATTTACAAGACACTTACAACCACACTTAGAAAGCACATTTTCTGACTAGAAGTTTCTTGTTTTTTTTAATTGTAAACTACCATTAAAATTCATGAGCTACCGCTCACTTCATCAAATGTACGGAGTGGCTACTAGTTTCCTTCTGATTTTGGGCAACCATGGACTAACATGACTCTTTTCCTGTAATGCCAATTCACTACTAACTCTAGGCACATAGAGATTAAAAACAGACACAACACCTAAAACAAAACCATAGAGAACAGTAAACTTTATTTAAACTGCATGATGTATCTGGAGGTATCTCTGTTCAGGTGGGATTCAGGTAAGTGACTGAGACAGCATTGGTCCCTCTTAACGGTTTTTCAGAGGTTCCACTCCTCTCCCAGCATGTGGGCCCCATCAGTTGCCCGTGGGGAAGAGAGGTGGTTTTGGTGGTCCTGACATTAAAGGGGTTCCATTAGGGTCAGCCCACTCCCCTGTTTGGGGTTCAGTATCAGTAAGCCGGTGACACCTGACTTCACATCCCCACTCCGAACTGTCAGGGGCCTGGAGGCTGTTGGGATCTGGATGAAGGTAGAAGGGACTGAAACTGAACCCTGATAAGACGGAAATGCTGTTCGTCCATTGAGGCCCCCCAGTTGCACCCCTATTACCTCTGGGTGACCACAAGTTCTCCTGAAGGAAGAGGATGTGTCCTCTGGATTCTCTGCTGCTGCTGCTGCTTCTGGAACAGGGATGGAAACTGTGGCTCAGGAGCCTTTGCCCACCTTTGGGAGGAACCCTAGTTGTTTAGACCACTGCACTGCGCTCCCCCCCCCCCCCCGAAGCTAAAGGCCCCTTGGATGCTTAAAGCCACAGAGCCCGTGGGCTGGCTGGATCCCATCACTGGGAATGTGTCCTGCATCTCCATCAGGCCCTGCTCTGGCTGCTCTGGTCATCCAGGTGCAATTGAAAGCCATGGTTCTTTACCTTTATAGCTTGGCTTTCACCTGAATGGTTCCAACCTATTAACTCATCCAGGGAAAAGCTGCTTCTGGTTCCCAATCCTCCAGGCGATATGGTCCGCTCGTATGGCCATCCTGGATAGTTTAGGCTGGTCCAAGAGGACCCTCAAGGAAGAGGTTGAAGATATTCTGCAGAGGGTTGGGACCATTTTATGGCTCTTCTTTTCTTTTTGTCTTTATTTCCCTGTTACGATTTTTTTAGTTTACCAAGGATGCTGAATATTTGCTTTCTACAGTGTGAGCAGAGCAGAAGCCAAAGCCAAAACTAGAGTAAATAAACGGCAGTCTCCCCTTTGCTTCCTCAGACGACTTGGTGCTCCGTCTTTCTGCAGCCATCGAACTGGGAAACGAAGAGGAGGCCATGCGGTGTGCTTCCTTGCTTGCGCAGCAGCACACCGCCCTGCGCATCCAGCTGAAGGAGTCCTGCTACCCTGCCGGCCAGATCAGGTGAGTCAGAGGAGAGGGAGGCCTCTGGTCCGGCTCCTGTCCTTCACTTTGCAGGTGGCGCCTCTTTCACTGAGCTCTTTCCTCTTAGCATGAAGGTGCACGTGGAGGACGCCTCCTGTTCTGCCAGCATCACAGCCCGGGTGCACACGCACACCACAATCGCCGCCCTCAGGCACCAGGTACTCCGCTCGCTTCATCTTCCCTCCAGGGCAGCCTCTGGAAAGGGGGGCATTGGGCACAGCTGTGGGCTTAGGAGGCCTGCTTAGGCACTGGAGCTGCCCCCATGCGCCCACCTGCTTTGCCCCACCAGGTCTTTCAGGATTATGGATTCCACCCCACTGTCCAGCGTTGGATTATTGGGCAATGCCTGTGTGTGGACAGCCGGACGGTTGGGTCCTACGGCATCCGGAAGGATGGCGATACAGCCTTCCTCTACTTGCTCTCAGCGAAGGGAGCCAACCTCTCCGAGCAGCGGTACAAGGAGGACAAGGACTGGGTGGTGCTCCAGCCACCCCCCTCAGCAATCCCCGGCAGCTCTGACAGCCGACACAAAGGCAGCGCCACTCCTTTGGCGAAGAAAGGTGAGCTGGGGAAATACATCTCCACCCGCATGGCTTAGGAGGAAGGCCGTGCGCCAGTGCTGGCCTTCCCTTCCTGCTTGGAAGAGGGCCGGGCTCATCCCAGGGCTTCTCTGCCCACAGGTGGGAAAGAGCTCAACAGGAAGTCGGATGTTGGGGAAATCACTCGCTTCCTGGACTCTATGCATATGAGTAAAACCCTTCCGTGTCGCACTCAATCCCCCACCATCCCAGCTGCTGCCCCCCCTTCTCCTGTGCAGGTACGTTGACAGCAGGGCAGGAGGTGGCTCCCCTGAGTCCTGATCTGAGCCAGGTGCCCAGGTGCCCTGCGCTCCCATGGGCAGCCCCGGCAGGGGGCACTGAGGAAGGGCTCCCCCTCTCCTTCGCCCAGGCTGGCTGGTCGTGTCCCACCTGCACGTTCATCAACAAGCCCACCCGCCCCGGCTGCGAAATGTGCAGCACTGACCGCCCTGCTGGCTACCTGGTCCCTGGGAGCTACCGGCCGGACGATGTGGAACTCTGGCGGATCCAGCAGGAGAAGGAGGGCATCCTGCAGTACCAGAAGGTAGAGGCCAGGGGGAGTGGGGGAACTGGTGATGGAGGGGGCTGCTCCTTCTCCTTGGCGGAAGCATTTCCTCGCACTGTGAGGGTTGACCTCTGCCTGGGCCCAGGCCTTTCACCCTGTTGAGCCGCATCTGGCTGAATCCGCTCCCACTCGGCCTGGAAGAGGCTGCAGATTTGCAAATGCAGGGCTACTCTTTGTAAAATGCAGAATTTCAAACCTTTATAAATTAGAGGTTTAGAATTTACTTAAAGACTCCGGTCCTTCAACAATCACAAGGTGGTAAAAGTACATATTTCCCCAACGCTGAAAGAGCAGGCACCGAATGCCCAGCTCCAGAGGGAGGGATTGCAAACCTGGGAGTGCTTCCCAGCCCTCTCCGGTGGGAGGGTGGGCCACAGCCCCCTCCTCTTCAGAAGGGCCCCTCGTTATGCGGATCTTAATGCCTGCAACTTCCTTCCTGGGAGCGGCATCGGCTCTGCCGTGCAAGCTTTGTCACAGTCGGCTTCCCACCCGGATACCCTTGTGCCCAGGGAGCACCTGCAACTCCTCCAGGCCTTCCCCCCTGCTGGCATCCCAAGAGGCAGCTTCTAGCCCCCTTTCAGGGACAGTCCACAGAGGACCCAGGGGGGAGGGTGGGCCAGGGTGGGCATGGTGGCCTGGTTCGACAGGCTCAGGAAGAGGTAGCACCCAGGCGGCTGTGGCAGAGAAGGCAGGGGAGGGGAAGGCTCCATTGGGGGTGGGGGGGAGAAGGCTGAGCCAGCTGGTTTCAGTGGGAAGGGGGTCTCCTTCAGTGGGACTGCACAGAAGTCGGGACTCTGCGTGACTCGTAAGCACCGATGTGGATGAGCGTTGGGTATTATTAAAGCCTTCTGTGTAAAATTAGAAATGCCATATATGTCTTTTTATAAGTCCTGTTGCTTTTGTAAAAGTGACCTTTCCTGTTCCTGTTGCACTTTGTGTACAAGCCTCCTCCTACTTTGTTTCCTTTTACTTTTCTGCGGCATCCTGTACCCTTGCAAGAATTTCTCCGTCTTTGAAGCTTCCAGGGCGACTGTGGTCCCCAATCAGGCTTGTGGGGAGGGGGCGAAAAGCGAGGAGGGGGAGGCAGCGGTTCAGGAGCCCCTGATGACTCTCTTCTCTTCTTTCTTTTTTCTCTTGTGGCAGGAAAAGGGAAGGAGAGAAGACAGTCCAGCCGTGCCCTATGCCCACAGCCTTGGGCCCCTGGACGAATTCATCCACCTCTCCTCGGAGTTCTCGTAGCTGCCCTCGCAGCCCTGCCCAGCTCCTCTGGCGCCACAGGCCCCGGCCCCGACTGAGGCAGGCACCAGAGCCCTCCTTTGAGAGAGAAGCGGGCGTGGCCCCGAGGAGGAGGGGGGCTAAGCATGGCCCTTTGCCCAAAGAGTCAGGCCAGGGTTGCTGTCCCCTGTTGGGATTGGAAACTTACTGGGGGGCCCAGTTGCAGCCAAAGGAAGCGGGAGGACAGGCCTCTGCTCCACCCGGTCCCCTCTCTGGGGGCCAGAGGGTCGTTCTGGGTGGAGGGCTGCTCTGGTTGCCGGTGGGGACTGAGGCTTCGGTTGAAGGTCCTCCCTTCCCCCCTCCCCAACTGCCTTGTGGAGCTGCTGGGCAGGGAGCCTTGAGCAGCCTGGCGGTTAGGCAGCGTGTGATGCGAGAGGGATGCTGGAAGCAGAGGCGCCCCGTTGAACTCCTCCAGTGCCCCTCTGGGGGTGGCGTTTCAGAAAGTTATAAGGTTGTCCTTTGGCCAGGGTTCTTGGCAGGAGACGGATTGGCTGGCAGCCGGTGGCCCACTGGGGCCAGGCGTTACCGAGCGGGTCCCAAGCTGGGGAGCCCCGGGACCAGGGGACCTTTCCTTGGGGCGCTTGGGCCCAGCCTGCCTGCCGGTGAGCATCAGCAGAGGGATGAATTCTAGAGAACAGGCGGCTTCCAAGCCCTTCACTAAACATGGCTTTGGGTACTGTTCTGAGATGGGTTAATTTCTGCATCTTGCATTTGAACATTTGAAGTTTTGAAATGAATTGGAGATCTTGTTGCATTAAAAGATGCCTTTGGGCCAGGTGGCCCACCCTGTGAATCCGTGTTCCTTTCTTGACTGAGCCAGGAGGGAGATCCCCCCCCCCCAAATGATGGCTGTGGGTGTGGTGGCGGGAGCCCTTGTGTGAAATTCCCTCTGTCTGGGGAGCAAAAGAGGCCCTCTGTGAGAGGCCATCTTCTGAGGAGGCCCCTTGCTGCCCCCTTCAGCTTCAAAGGCCCTTGGTTCCCTCCCTCATCGCAGCTGGCATCACCCGAGGGCATCGCGGGTCTTGTTTTGGTGGCTGAGCTCCTATGCGGAAATCCTCGTGGGGGCTCCCTCTGCACCTATTGTGGCAGAAGGTGCTTGAAAGGGGGGGTGAAGTCCCCCACCCCTAGAGAAACCCAGAGCCCCTTGTCCACAGCTCTTAACGCATGGCTTCCTCTTGTGGCTGCCAGGTTCACAAAAGCTCTGAGTCCTTCCTCTCCTCTCTCCTGCATAAACAAAACCACCTGGAGTGCCTGAGAATCGGGCAGTATATAAATTTAATATTATAGTTGTACAACATCTTAGGAAAAGGGAGTGGAGCCTTCCCAAGACATGAATCTCTGGCTTTGATTGCCAACAAGGATGGTGTTTTCCACCTGCCCACCACCACCACCAAACTTCTTTGCTTTCTGTGGGCATACAGTAAGTGCCCACACCCCGTCTTGCGATTGGCGGGTGTGCAGGCTTAGGATGGAATCTGTTTCACAGTCGAGTGGCTGCAGCAATGTCTGTTGAAGCAAAGGCGCACGGGAGCTTCCGCACTGCCTGAAAGAGGCGCCTGAGTAGACCAGCCGGGCCTCAGGGAGCCAAACGAAGGGGGGGGGGAGCATCAGTCACTGGAGGTTGGGCCCTTCTGAATGGTCCTGGGCTGCCAGGGGCCCAGGAGGAGGCGATGGCTAGCACTGGCAGGAAGCACCGCTGCTGGGCTTCTGGTGGTTCTCAAAATATAAGCCACCCTCCTGCCTTTTTAAATAGGCAGGAAGAGATGCACTTTTTAAAGGACGGAAAGCCTGCAGTAGCGATAGGTGAAGCCCCTCCACCCACAGAGAGGGCTCCAGAGCCGGGAGAGTCAAATGCAGGGATCCACTTGCTCTGAGAGAAGTTTATCCTGCTTGGCTTCAGATCAGTTCAAGACCCATTTTGTCCGTCGTGCCATCGGATGAGCCCAGCAAAGCCGGAATCCAGGGCAAACCGTACCTTGCCAATGCCACATGAGCACGCTTACCCAATTAGGTCACCATCCACCGGGATCGGCAACGTCCAGACCGCAGTTGGCTTGTTTGACCCGGCAAAGGCAGTGATTATTGTGCACCCCAAAGTGTTGAAGGATGGCAACTCCAGGATGCGAAATCAATATAGCAATAGCAATAGCAGTTAGACTTATATACCGCTTCATAGGGCTTTCAGGCCTCTCTAAGCGGTTTA